CGAACTTATCAACATTGACCCCGTTCGGGTATTTTACCCACTGGCACTTAAATATGGGGAATTGCATTGTGTGCCCATAGTCGATTTCCCATATTTCTTCAATAAACCCGAAGTATAATTGTTTTTCCCTGGCTTCATTAATTGCCTTCACACAGACACTGCTGTTTTGCGTACAGGTCTTATTATCTCGGGCTCTTGTGCTAAACGAGTATCCATTAATGTCATATCCCTGCCAAGAATTTACTGTAGGTGATGGACCACAAGCCAACCGCTTCATAGTTATTTCATCGGTAGTTTGTCCCTCAGGTAAGTCTAGGTCTCGCAACCAATCTATGAAGAGACGCTTGTGTTATTTCATTATCCACTTGGTGGTGCGACCCTTATTGTTAGCTCGTATTAGTTCGATATGTTGATCGATGTACGGCTCGACGATAGCAAACTGATGAAGCACGCTGAAGTGAGCTTCTTGGAATGATTTGTGATCATGGGTGAAGAATCTCTTCTTTCCTATCGTTCCCCTGCCACTCAATCTGCCCTCGTGTCGGGGCACAGGTACTCCAATTGCATATCCATATTTGAGGTAATCGATACAACACTCGACAACCTCTTCAGTACTATAACCCTCAACCATTGATCCCTCTGGATGTGCACTATTTCAGACGTAACACTTCAGAACCGCCATGTAACGCTCGTATGACCACATTTGATGGAGGTACAATGGGCCAAGTGCAACCATCTGTGGCACTATGTGAACAATGAGGTGCTCCATCATATCAAAAAAATGACGGAGGGAAACACATCTCAAGTTGGCACTGTGTCTCATGTGCGAATATACGGAGATTTCCTAACTCTTCGAGACTAATGACCTTCTATGACACTGCGTTGAAAAAGTAGCACAACCTTGTGATAGCAACCTTTAAATGCTCCGGTTTTATGGCCCTTATTGCAATTGCAAGAAACACGGTGAGCAAGACATGGCAGTCGTGTGAATTATAACCAGATACCGACAAATCTTTCATTGAAACTAGTCGACTGATGTTTGATGAGAAACCTATGGGCACTCTGACATCACGGAGTGAGTTGCAAAATGACTTCTTCTCCTCAGGTGTCAGTGTGAAACAGGCTGGTGGAAGATATACTTTGCCATTCTTTTCTCCTTCTTGAGGGTGTAACTCTTCCCTGATTCCCATCTCGACTAGGTCCATTCTTGATTGCAGACCATCTTTAGTCTTCTTCGGCATGTCCAACAATGTTCCAACTATGTTGTCAAACACATTCTTCTCTAGATGCATGACGTCTATGGCATGCCGAACCTCTAGATCTTTCCAGTACGAGAGGTACTTAAAAAATATGGAATGCTTCTTGAATGGGGTAGGGAGTTTATCATCTGGCTTCGAACTGTCATCTTGCTTCTTACTATCCCCTCCCTTCGTATTCTTCTCGGGTTTCTTGCGCTGTCCCCTTTGATGGTTTCTTAGTCATTTTTCCAAACTCGCAAACAATTTTCTCTGTCATTGCACACACCTTTTCTCCCGATGTAGTTTTTGGTGCAGGATCAGTCTTTTCAGTACCATCGAACTCCGCCTTCATCTTGCGGTACTTGTGATTTGTGCGTAGGAACCGCCGGTGCCGCATGTACACAAGCTTGTTGGAACCCAGGAGATACCTATAGTACGTTCCATTCAAGCAGATCACACATCCTATTTTACCTTTAATTTGACCTGAAACTGAAAACATTGCTGGATAATCGTTAATGGTCACGAAGATGATGGCCTTTACTGTGAAGTATTCCCTTAAGTACTCATCCCACACTTTCAATCCCTCTTTCCATAAATCAACCATATCTTCCAACAATGGTTCAAGAAATACGTCAATATCAATACCAGGCTGACGGGGTCCCTGTATGAGGATACAGAGTAGTACGTATTTTCGCTTTTGACAAAGCCAGGTAGGAAGATTATACATGGTGAGAAGCACTGGCCAAGTACTATGTGAGCTGCTCATGTCTCCAAAAGGATTAACTCCATCAGTACTCAGGGCAAATCTAATGTTCTGTGGGTCTTTAGCAAACTCTCTATACTGAGTATCAAAGTTTATCCACTGACGAGCATCTGTCGGGTGTCGAATCATCCCATCCTTCTTGCGCCCTTCTTCATGCCAGCGCATTAGTTCCGCATCTCGCGGGTTTGAGTATATCCGTTTAATGCGGTCTTTGACAAGAAGGTACCACATCACAAGCTGCGGGATTTTTCTCTATCGTCCCTCAGTTGCTTTAGAGGGTTCTAGGCCAGTATTGCTATTCGACTTGTACCGGCTTGCACCGCATGTTGGACATTCATCTAAAGAAGCGTACTCTTTCCTGTACAGTATGCAGTGATTTACGCACGCATGAATCTTTTCCACACCAAGTGAAAGGGGGCATATGAGTTTCTTTGCTTGATATGTGCTGGATGGTAGTGAGTTAGGCCTCGGGAGCATTTTCTGCAGAAGTTCTAACAGACTGTCGAAACTGGTATCAGACCATCCATGTCTCGCCTTTAACCTCAAAAGTTCAAGAACTGACCGGAGTGTTGTGAACTCACTATCACAGCCCTTCGACTCATCGTACAAAACTTCCTTTGCTGCCTTCTGTAAAGCTTCAAAGTTATTTAACCCTCTAGCCGACCCCATCAGCACCTCGGGTTCTGCATGACGTAACATTTACTCTAGGTCGATTTTGTCCTCAACAGAACCATCGTCATGCACCATGTCTTCAACTTGTGTCGGAACTACATTTTCTGGCCCGTCCACTTGTTCTTCGCCATGACGTGTCTATATTTCGTAATTGTCCATAAATCCACGAGTTACTAAGTGCTCCTTTACTTTAAAAGCATCGTCAAAGTCCCAGGCTATTTCATTCTTACAGTCAGCACATGGACAAATTATCTTCCTCATATTATTCTTCTCAGCGTGTGCCTTGGCAATACCAATAAATTTAGCCACTTCGATTCTATATGGAGACAAAAACCTCGGCCAATGATACATCCATTCCTGACTTTCCATATCTCTAAAAAAATACACGTAAAATATTTGCACAATTAATACCAAATTTGTAGGGTTTATTGAAAAAAATTATCGCTATTCAAAACTAATTAACTAAAGGTTAAGGTTAAGTGTAAATTAATAAAAAAATCAAAGTTTATTTCAATTTTTTTTACATAGACATGCCAAATCAGTACATTAGGAAAATCTAACAAAATCATATCATCGGCATATTACAAAATACTATAACTATTTTTTGATTGCACCGAATAAATAGACATTTAAAATTTTATTCTCTCTCTATATATGACAAGATCTAGATCTAGATCTAGAACTAGGTGGTGGATGTGATAGCAAAAATAAAAAAAATCGAGAATTTATGTTACCACATTAAACCACTACAACAAGAGGCATCAAGTATTACACATACATCTAACATCAACATATCAAAAGAAATAAAATTAAAAAACATGGAGCTCTTCCTTCACAATTTTGGATGCATAAATCCATCACAAATTAAGATCTAAAAGCTTAAAAAATTGCATACCTAGTGTGGAAATGAGTAGATCTAAGTACTGTAGAAAAATCCCCCGAAGATTTGAAGTTCAAAACCTCCCCCTATATTTAAGTCACTTTAGGAGAGAGAAACGTCGGGGAGAATGAACAGGGCTCGGGGAGAAAGAAGACTATATAGGGGCATCTTTGCAGGCGGGCCATATAAGCGACGCCTGCGAAGATCGATCTTCGCAGGCGGACCGCCCACTCCACCCCGGGTACTTTTTTTGCCGGCGGGGTTTTGGCTCCGAATTACATGCCCGCCTGCGAAAATCGATCCCCTACGACGCCGAAAAATAAAATCAGACGGTGCCTACCCAATGTGTATGAAACAGCCATCAGTCTCACATATGAAGGGATGCACATGCGAGCATCCAATAGAGTGTAGTTTTAAATATTGAATGGCTTGAAATGATTTGTTTTCTTCTAAATTACTCTCTCCTTCCCAAATTGATCATCATATAAGTTTATACACCAAGACTAAGGACAATTTAAATTACATCAATCAAGACACCATGCATATATTCTCCCACAATGCATGCATGGATTAAAACCTCATGCCAATTATACCCTAGCATACACACATTCTCCCATACTCCATTAATTGTATTCTGACGAAATCCGTATCCATATGGTTATATGATGATCAATTTGAGAAATTTTAGATTCTATTACATGATGTGGTTATATATTTGTTATAATTAAATTTTAGAACAAGATCTTACTAGATTATATTTTAATTAAGAAACTATATATGTATGCACAACAACATATATAACGGTGTTGCAACCAACTTTTTAAAGAGAGAATCTATTCTATACCATTGAGTTTATTCGAGTTCAATAATTTGCCATTGACGTTATCTCTTTTTATAATATACCGACGACTTTATCAATTGTTTTACAATGCACCATTGGATCGGACATTCTTTTAAAAAATTCAAAAATACCCTTATAGATACAAGATTAACAATTGATTTATCTCATTAGAAGTTTCGAAAAACTATGAAAATTTTCATATGGCCTCCTTACACAATATGAAGTTTGTATTTCTACATTTTTCAAAAATATAACTTATCTGTAATATGCTATATAAAATATTTTTTTGGTGTTTTTAATATAAATCATCATTTGTGTAAGCAAACTCTCTCTCATATACCACACAAAAATAATTTTTCTAGAAAATAAATATGTTAGAAAAACTTGAAACTTATATACAAGTTTCCATGTTTTGTAAGGAAGCTACATTAAAAATTTCATATTTTTTATGAAACTTCTAATGAGAAAAAATAATTGTTAATCTTGTATGTCTCTAAGGGTATTTTGGGTATTTTTTTTAAAAAAAGTCCAACCCAATGTATATTGTAAAACAATTGATAAAATCACTGGTATATTAGAGAAAGAGACAATGTTAGCGACAAATCATTGAACTGTGACAACTGACAAGTTCAGTGGCATGGAGTAGATTCTCTCCTTGTTAAAGTAAATACATTTTACCAAGTGCTGAAACATTTTGTACTAAGTAATGAAACATCTGAAACGGTTATAACCATGGGATGCAACACCGGCCGCTATTTAACAAATATCGGGCATCTAGTCATAGTTGCCCCCAATTATCAACAATACAATTATTATTATTATTATTATTATTATTATTATTATTATTATTATTATTATTATTATTATTATTGAGAGCTGCTGTGGTCGTGGCGTACATGCAGTCCGTGGTTCGTACTCCGTCGAGATGAGACCTACAATTTTGCTAGAACGTAGCCTTCATCAGGCACCACCCTTGCTTTTGCGTCGTCTAGCACGGCAGCAGCTCCGGCATTGAGCCCCTTGTCCACCTCCTGGATCAGCCTCTCCATCACCGGACTGGGCAAACTTATGGGCACCACGATGCCTGCCTCGCCAGCCTCGTTCCTCCCCTGGAGGTGAAACGTGGCCAGCATCGTCGTCGCCGGCCCTCCGTACACCGGCTTTCCCCAGCCGAAGTCGATGTCCGTCATCCCTGCCCGCGTCATGTCCGAGATGAAGTAGGTCCTGGCGCCCTTGGGGAACGCCGGCCTCCGGCGAGCAGCGTTGAAGCTGGCCACCGACTGCACGTACCCGTCCTCCCACGCCCGCGCCTTCGCCTCCACGAGCAGCCGCAGCGCGTGGCCGAGTGGCCTCCCGCACAGCTCCCCCGCCGGCGCCGACGCGCTGGCGAACACGATCGCGTTGCCGTAGTAGCCCCTTGGCACGGGCCGGTTCCTCACGCGGGCGTTCACGAACATGTTCAGGCGGACGACGTCGCCCCGGCCGTGCCGCAGCGCGGCGGTGCGGCACCGCCACATGAACGCGCCCACCAGGTCGAACCGCGAGCAGGCCGCCACTACCTGCGACCGGAGCGCCGCGATCTCCCGATCTCCGAAGAAGAAGACGTGGTGCGCGTACGCGTTGGTCGACGGGGAGAGGGAGAGCAGCACGTCGTCGTCGTCGTCGTCGACGGGCAGGGGCGCGTACTCCACGTGGTCGCGCGTGACGGTCGGCGGCCACGATCGGGTGGTGAGCGCCTCGCGCTCCCACACCGGCGGCACCGTCGGGGCGCCCGGCACGCCACGGGCGAACTCGGTCACCGCCGTCAGGAACTGCACCATCCCGGAGCCGTCCGCCATGCAGTGGCATATGTGCATCCCGAACACGAAGCCGCCGCACGCCAGCCGAGTCATCTGAACAAACAGCAGGGGGCGGTCGACGACATCTGCCGTCGGGCTCTCCGCCTCGCACAGCAGCATGTCGTAGCACGGCACCGGCGGCGCAAGCAGCGGCGACGACGTCGACGTGCCGTCCCCGAGGTCATCCATGCGGAAGCTGGCGTCGGCCTCGACGAACACGACGCCCTCGCCGGTGCACTCCACCACGAGCTTCCTGGTGGGCCGCAGCTCGCGGAGCCGGCCGGCGAGCGGGTAGAAGTGTACGAGCGCCTCAGAGAGCGCCGCCCTGATCACCGTGACAGGATCGACGCCGTCCTGATTGGGGTTGTGGCGGTAGAAGCTGATGCCGGAGCGGTTGAAGCGGAGGATGTCCTGGTCGTCGATGTCCGACAGCATCTTGAACTCGTACGGCGTCGGTCTCGCCGGCGCCACCAGCTCGCGCTCGCGGCGCCTGACGGAGAACCCTAAGCTCGTCGGTGCTCCGGCCATTTGCACCCTAACTACGTACTTAGACAATGATCAGGTGCGTGGGGACTACTTGATTCTAAAACAGCATTCGTTGGTATGGAGTCACGTTAATTTTGCTCTCTCTCTATATAGACGTGGCGCGGCGTGTGAGCCTACAGAGAGTGGATAGATTCTGATCCATATTCGACGTGGACAGACGAAAAGTATAAGTTGGCGAAATGATGGTCACAACTAAATAACTCGAGACTATTAGCCTGGATTTTAAACTTTCTAATTATTTGCATATCATATCTTAACAAAAATTAGAGGATATATTAATATGTGTTATATCACCTCATAAACATACATGTTAATATTCAACTTCTACAAATTAAAAATAAATAAATACTTAACGTATATTCACATTAAAATTTGTTTTTTTATTACAACATGTTAAATTTGACATCGCATGTTTATGGAGTGATGATTTTATTTATATTAATCTTATTGATTTTTTTTTAAAAATATATCCGTTTGAGTAACATGGAAACGATAAAGGATGTTTCCTCGCGAGAGTAGAATAATTCCCCATAAGCCGAGAGAATGATCTATGTTGGGAACTAAACATAATGTGAACGGTTTTTTTGCTATAAATCACAGGGGTGATTTTCGTTAAGAAATCACACGATTTTTTGGTCTCATGAGTTGCTCCAGGATTTGTGCTAATATTTAACTAGATTAGATCGTGCTATTTAGCTAGATTTGCTTTAAGATTTATGTAACTGCTTAGCTAACAAATAGAAAAAAAAACAGGATTGTACGGGTTTAATCGATCTCTCACGACCTGTTAATTGCCACAACAAGGTCTTTACCTTAGCAACACAGCCGTTTATGGAACTACATACCATAACTCACCAGAGATAGAGAAGGAGATCGATATACCGTTTATGAACTTTACTAGAAGGTATGATGTTGCTCGTTTACAAGTTTTGGTCCTAGATCCATCTTTGATCCCAGATGTGGTTGATGTGGTTATTGGGGACCACTTGTACGAGTTATCTTTTATAGTGGAGCCTGACAATGGGTCTGACGAGCCTGTACCAATGGATATGGAGAATCTGGATGATGGGACTTTGGAGAAGGAGGAGGGGAATCTGAACCAGGATTTGGGGAAGGGATCTGGAGGTGATCCTGGTAACGATTCCTTAATAGGTTCTGGTGGTCAGGTTAGTGAGAGGGGTGGTCCTTCTATACCGGCTGCTCATTTGAGTCTGATACCTGAATCTGATGGCTTGACTGTATCTGATGAGGAATTTGATGGCTTAGATGAGGATTCTGTAATGGTTAAGAAGGTTAATACCCAGCAAAGTCTAGGGGAAAAGCTCGCTGCTATTCCTGAAGCAGTAATTTCTCCCTCCAGGAAGAGCAAGAGAAGGGCAAGTGACAGTGATCAACTTGTTCTCCAAAGAGCTGAGAAATTGAAGGCTGATAAGAATTTGGACAACTTGCAGGCAAAAGGTAACTTTCATGATAATGTTTCTTTTTTACAATTTACAAATGAACAAATTTCTGCTGCTCTTGATAATCTTGGTGTGATCACTTTGGGTACGAATTTTATCTTAGATGATGTTAAAAATGATTTAAAGAGTATAGAGGAAAAGAGGTTAAGTAAATATGTTAGTTCTTCTGTTAATCAGGTACATACTTCAAATGTTGATAGTGAGATATTAGATGATCAGGTGGATGATAATTCTCTACTTCAACATTTGTGTGGTGAATTAATGGAGGAGGTGATGGATTTTAGTGCTGTGGATGATAATTATTCTCAGACCACTTTAAATTCTTTAGATACCTCTCCTAATAGTAAGAAAAAGACTAAAAGGGGAAAGAAAAAAAAGAATATTTTTAAATGAAAGGGTTGTTCTGGAATTGTGATGGGTTTAAGGACCCGAAAAAACATAAGTTTATTTCTGATTTAACAAAGGAACATCACCTTGATTTTATTGCCTTGTCAGAGACTATTAAGAAAGATTTTAGTCCGGCTGTTCTTAAAAATCTATGTGCTGGCAAAGAATTTTTGTGGCATTGCAAACCTCCTAGAGGTAGGTCCGGTGGTTTGCTTTTGGGCATCAATTTAATTAATGTTGATATTGGTTTGATTGATGAGGGAGATTTCTACATTAAGTTTCATTTATGTAATAAAGTTGATAAGTTTAAGTGGGCTTTAGTTCTGGTGTATGGGCCAGCACAAAGTGAATTTAAGGATCAATTCCTTGCTGAATTAGTTAATATGTGCAGTCATGAAACCTTACCAATTCTTATTGGCGGTGATTTTAATATTCTACGTAGCTCTGATGAAAAGAATAATGATAATTATGATGATATATGGCCCTTCCTTTTTAATGCTATTATTGATGGGTTATGTCTCTGGGAGTTACAGATGTCTGGTAGGAAATTTACTTGGGCAAACAATTTAGTGAATCCAACATATGAGAAACTTGATAGGGTTTTAATGTCCACGGAGTGGGAACATAAATTTCCTTTATCTTCTGTGGTGGCTCTTAATAGAGATATTTCTGATCATACTCCTTTACTTTTAAATACAAACACTTCTTCTTTGAGTAATGCTCAACATAGTTTCAAGTTTGAACTTGGTTGGCTTTTACGTGATGACTTTGTTGATATGGTAAAGGAGATATGGTCTAGTGTTGATGAAGGCAATTCTGCCATGGAGCGGTGGCAGGCGAAAATTCGTCGTTTAAGACAGCATCTTAGGGGTTGGTCTAAACATACTAGTGGCTTGTACAAAAAAGAAAAAAAAAAGGAGATTTTAGATAAGTTGGATTTGCTAGATAAAAAGGCAGAAACTATGCTTTTGAGTCAGGAGGAATTGGATTTTAGATGGTTTTGTAGAAATAGATTATCTACAATTCTGAGAGAAGAGGAAGTTAAATGGTATCAGAGGGCGAAATCTAAGGATATTTTAGAGGGTGATTCTAACACAAAATATTTTCATTTGGTTGCAAATGGAAAACATAGGAAGACTAGAATTTTTCAATTACATGATGGTGACCAATTAATAAATGGTGATGCAAATTTGAAATCGCATATTACCACTTATTATAAAGGTTTATTTGGGCCTCCTTATGATTCTACTCTTCAGTTTGATGAGAATAAATTTGCTGACATTCCTCAAGTTTCTCAGTTGGAGAATGAGGCTTTAACGCAGGTTTTTACTGAAAAAGAGATTAAGGAGGCGATCTTCCAAATGGAACATAATAAAGCACCGGGTCCTGATGGATTTCCTGCTGAATTTTATCAAGTTTTCTGGAATGTTATAAAATGTGACTTATTAGATCTTTTTAAAGAATTTCATAATGGTACTTTGCCTTTATACTCTCTTAATTTTGGTACGATCATTCTTTTACCTAAGTGTGTTGAGGCTATGACAATCCAGCAATATAGGCCTATTTGCTTACTTAATGTTAGTTTTAAGATCTTTACCAAAGTTGCTACAAATAGAGTCATGACTGTTGCCCAAAAGGTAATTAGTCCTACTCAAACTGCTTTTATTCCTGGGAGAAATATTATGGAAGGTGTGGTTATTTTGCATGAAACTTTGCATGAGTTACATCGTAAAAACAAAAGTGCTGTAATTTTTAAGATCGATTTTGAGAAAGCTTATGATAAGGTAAAATGGTCATTTGTACAACAGACTTTGAGGATGAAAGGCTTCTCTCCTAAATGGTGTGAGTGGATTGCCTCTTTTATTCAAGGTGGTCATGTTGGTATTAAAGTTAATGATCAAACTGGTAATAATTTTCAAACGCATAAAGGGCTTAGACAAGGGGATCCTCTATCTCCAATTCTCTTTAATTTAGTTGCTGATATGCTAGCTTTACTAATTAAAAGAGCTAAAGATAATGGATCTCTTCATGGGGTGGTTTCTCACCTAGTGGATGATGGTTTGTCTATTTTGCAATATGCAGATGATACCATCATTTTTTTAGAGCATGATTTACAACAAGCAAAGAATTTAAAATTGATTTTGTCTATCTTTGAGAAATTATCTGGCTTGAAAATTAATTTTCACAAAAGTGAGTTAATTTGCTTTGGTCAGGCAAAGGAGTGTTATGAGCAATATTCTAATATCTTTGGTTGTAAGTTAGGGTCTTTTCCAGTTAAATATCTCGGTATTCCAATGCATTTTAGAAAGCTGTGTAATAATGATTGGAAAGTTATCGAACAAAGAATAGAGAAAAAACTTAGCAGCTAGAAAGGAAAACATATGTCTGTTGGGGGTAGACTGGTTTTGATTAATTCTGTCCTTTCAAGTTTAGCTATGTTTATGATATCTTTCTTTGAGATTCCGAAAGGGGTTCTTCAAAAGATTGATTATTATAGATCTCGTTTCTTTTGGCAAGGAGATGACCATAAGAAAAAGTATAGACTTACTAGATGGGATATTATTTGCCAACCCAAAGAATAGGGGGGTTTGAGGGTTCATAATTTAGAGATTCAAAATAGATGTCTTTTGAGTAAATGGTTGTTCAAGTTAATAAATGAAAATGGTGTTTGGCAAGACTTATTGAAGAGAAAGTATCTTTATAATAAGTTTATAACCCAAGTTGACAGGAAACAAGGTGACTCCCATTTTTGGTCAGGACTCATGAAAGTCAAAAAAAACTTTCTTAACTATGGGTTCTTGGATTGTGAATAATGGGGAACACATAAGATTTTGGGAAGATAGATGGTTAGGAAATACGGCCTTTAGAGAAAAGTATCCATCTTTATATGCTATTGTCAGTAGGAGAAGTTCTTCTGTTGCTAGTGTGATGACTTCTGTTCCGCTCAATGTTTCTTTTAGGAGAGCTTTAGTTGGTCAGAATTTAACACTTTGGCATGAATTGTGTGCATCTATTGTTCATATTCAATTGAATAATACTTCTGATTATTTTAGATGGAACTATCATCAGAATGGCCAATTCTCAGTTAGATCAATGTACTTAGCCTTAATTAATAATGGTTACATTGACAGAAATAAGTTAATTTGGAAACTCAAGATGCCGCTTAAGATCAAGATCTTTATGTGGTATTTGCTTAAG